TGGGGAAGACTGAAACAGCCTTTAATACAGACTTTGCAGCATTAATTATAGATGAACTGATCTATAAATGAATATGAACAACATTTTGCGAATTACTGACTGTATTTTTTATGCTGTGTAATTTACACTAGAATCATTGGTCACCTATACCATGTTTGGCCTCTATAAATTGGTGCTTTTTATCTTTCAGTTTCTTCAGAGGAAATTCCCCCTTTCTTAGTGGTTGAGCCAACCTCGAAAGGTGTGACCTTTATCAAGCTTTAAATGGACTGCCCGTAAGCCCTTCCTCCTTTTAGTCCTCTCTTCCTCGGGCCTTCATTGCTGCCCGGAAATAAATATCTCTTATTAGTAAACAATTAATGCTGAGTGTTCACGGGACGAACAGGCGGGTTGATTGTAATAATTTTACTAAATTAAATTATTAACTGATCTAAATATTCATAATCAATAATGTTAATTCGTTGTATAGTAAAATAACCTGGGAATACAGTTTCAATCCTTTCAACAGACTTTTAATCTCCAAAAATCAGATTAAAATTGTCCTGCTTATGTTTGCATTTATTACAAATTAGCTTTATCAGTCAAAAACAGACCACGTATTAAACATTTATTCATTTTTCATATTCACAAAAAAACAATCTAAGTAAAAACAAGACTTTCTAAAAGAAAATAAATAGTTAAATACATTGCGTCTCCAGTTTTCGTTTCTTCATCATCTGGCCGTGTCTGTATGGGCTCTGTTGTCCACCTTTATTAACAATTACAACAGGTCCATGGTTAAAAGAAGCTAGAACAGGCAAAGTCAACAAGCACAGGCTGGTTCTAGAATTGTGGGCCACACACTGCCAGCTCTGAAATGTTCCTGGCTATTTATATTAACGGGGACATGTGATGTTTGCATGAGTGAAGAGGCAAAAAACAGAAGTGGGCATGCATATACTTGCCTTCTTATAAAAGTTTGTCATGAATGAGCATGTATTTATTAAGTGAACATGAGTCAGATTGTACCTGCTTCTGCTGTAGTTCTCATCTCAGAGGATCTGAACTGTCCATATCCTCCCTGGCCTTGAGGAACGACACGACCCTGAGGTTGAGCTGGTGGTCTCAAGTACTGGGCTCTCTGCGGGGTCTTGCTGCGTGTCATCATCTTGTGCTGGCTCGGCGTGGTGGGACGAGGAGGTTCTTTGGATCCTTCTGCAGGATCTTCGAGAAGATCAATGCCATCCAGAGTGAAGTTCCATAATTCTGGGTCATCTGAGAAGTGAGACATTTTTATATATTTTACCTCATAATCTAACAACCTTGTTCCTGTATTAAAACCTAAAACCAAAGTTCTACAATTTACTCCATATTGTGTCATTTTAAACCCCTTAAAATATAGATATAATGGCCACGCTTTGAGTAAAAATGGAGGACTGGTAGTTTAAGCTTTAAAAATGTTTTTAAGTTTTTGTGTGTATTTAATATTACTTCAAAGCAGGATTTTCAAATTGTGTGAAGCCAAGAACCCCCAAATATGAATCACTTGCAAATGACCCCTTCCTAAAATAGTCAGCAAAATATTTTTAATACACATAAAAACAGGTTGTAAGAATAAATCACTCAATTTCAGATCAGTGAAACTGCAATAATGTCAATGTCATCTGAAAATGTTGAAAAATCTTTATTAAATGAAGTTATGTTACCACTGGCACTTTTCTTAAAAATATTCCTTACCAGCCAGATACTCCTCCTGTTTAGTGGTCACCAGGTGTCCGTTTGGTGTACTGTGGTTAACAGGACCTACAGCCCGTCCTAAAACGATAAACCCACTAATGGACAACGCTACACACCTGACACTCCTGCAGGCGAAAGGCTTAAATGATTTATTCTCATGGCTAAAACATGAACCCTTAAATTTTCCATCGCACCTTGCTCGGACTGCAGCGTTTCCGTGCAAGCGTTTGATGGCTCGGTTCTCTGTTCCTGTAGCAACTTCTTCGCCTCCATTTCCTGTCTGAACTTCAGCTGCAGCTGCTGCTGTCTCAGCTTCCTCTGCTGCTTGGAGTCCAGTGGAGGATCAGACGAGGACAGGTCAGCCATGTCAGCTGCTGACCTAACAACATGAGAGTAGCACATTTATCACAAGCGCAGCTGGCTAGTTTTGTAGTCAAAGTTAGCACCAAATAAATTCACCTTGAGATATTGCTGGGCCTGTTTTCAGAATCCTGGTGAGCTGATGTGTTGCCAGAATGTGCTGTCGTGTTTGTCAATGAAGTCCTGGATCCGGTGGCGCTCTCATGCCCTCCTCGTACAGGGCGACTTCCCATTCGCTCAAAAGGGATGTTGGCTGGTTCTGCCGGTTTGATAAATTCCCTGCTGTTGGCTCGGGCCAGGCTGTCGAACCTGGCCTTCTCCACGGACGGCTCGCCATCACAGCGTTTGGTTTTGTCCGGGTCTAAAGGAGGAGGTGGCTGCGATGACGGGAAATACAATGTATTTCAGGTACATACATTAAAAAAAATACATTGAAATGAGTCACAAATTTGACCCAAATTTTTAAGATGACTTCTTACCTGCTTTGGTATTTTATTGATGGCTATGAGATACTCCTTATTCAGAATACAGTTTCCAAGCGCGTTTCCAAAACACCTTATTGTAAAATAAAATTACAATTCAATTAAAATTCTGTAAGGTGTGCTGGACAATCAGCCAGTACATAATAATAATAATAAAGCTGGACAGGCTGAACAGCATTTATTTGAAATGGAAATGTTTTATATTATAAATGCCTTTACTGTCACTTTTGATAATTTTTTTAATATATCCTTGCTGAATAAAAGTACTTTTTTATTCAAAATATTTAACACAGAATGCCAAAAATGACTTCTCAGAAATAATTACTTGAGTGCTCGTTTCAATCCATCTGTGACTGCTTCTTTTCTTGCTTTTTCCAGTGACAGAGCTTTAGATTTGAGGCCTTCGCTCACGCCATAACCTACATCCTCATGGAACGAGCCATCCTATGGAAAAGACAGAACAGAATGGTACATGTGTGCTCCTCACAATGCTGCGTGTTTCCTGTCAGAGTGCTTACCTTCAATTGGACCTTCACAAAGGCACTGACTCCAACATAAAATTTCCCATTGATAAGGTCTACAAAATCTGTAACACAAAATTGACCACATCCCCTTTCAAAAACAACTATCAACCGGATTTAAATGCAGCATAAATGGGAATGTTTGAGAATCTTGATGACAAAACATCCCTGCAAATGTGATGGTGTCCTTACCGACATTTTGCTGAGATATTGAGTGTGACCATCCATTATATCCAAACATTTCATTGGCAAGGCTTATAACTTTGTGACCTTCGATATAGCACACCTGCAAAACCAAGGCAAATGTCAAATAATCTGGAAAACAGCTAAATAAATGAAACTATATATTAAATATGCAAGGCTAAATATTACTACGTGTACAAGAAGCACATTAATTGTGACCTTTTGTCCTCCTCCAGCCTGTCTGGAGCTGATATATTCAGGTCCGAGTTTCTGCCGCAGAGCATTCTGGACTGCCTGGTACTCCTCCGCAGTGTATGCATACTACAACAAACATAAAGTTACAAATGCATATCTAAACTCCGGAAATATAATTATAATACATTATGAAGTGTCCTTTCTGTAATTCTTGTCAACATGACCATTACAAAGTGTTAAAAACTGTCCACTAAAAAACACACACACACCTGACCAAAACATGTGCTAGTTGTATGAGGTTTCCTCTCCTCTTGCTTCCCACTAGAGTGATCCATGTGTGTTTTCTGATCGCCAAGTCTCAAAATCCGTCAATATTCTCTTTTAAACGATGTTGAATATATATAATGTGAGTGGAGGTCGCTAAACTGTAACAACAGGAAGTCTGACACAACATTACGCGCTAGTGAACGCCCATAGTGAGCTACCATCTATCTACCCCACTTTCTGTCGACGAGGCGGCACATTTAACTGGTAAGCGTTTAGTCAATGTTTCTAACTGGAATGTTCTAATGTAAACGCCGAACGGTAGAATTATCTGGTGTTGGTTGAGCGTTTGAAGATGCCCGCCGCAGCGCCACAACCACGTTTACGCCGCCCCGCCCACACGCACGTGCGTAAAACGTCATAGAGAGTTCGACTTGAAGAAGCGCTGTGCAGGTCGATCGGTACAGTCTATGGTATGACATCATAGCTTTATTATTACAGCTAGTGCTTTATTTACGTAATTATGACATGGTGTGAACAGCGTAACTCCTACATCTCAAAATCCAATCAATAGCCGATGTATACAACCTTGTCCCTTACTTACCAACATTTATTATCATTTTTTTGGGTAATCTGTTACACTCAGATAGCTACATCACAATAGAGAAAAAAAGATATGTCGCTATACTTCTACTATTTCATCGCATCTTTAAATTCGGTCACCAAAAAGATTTGTACACTTTTCAGTAGCCCTTTCTTCCAGAATAAATTGTCAAATACATTTATTTTTGTGTGCAATGAATATATGAATGATACACAGAATCATTCGCTCAACCTATGAATTAAAAACACTGTACAACTCAAACAATAATAAGTCTTATTGTTTGGGTTTTTTACATTTTTTAAAAACAAATCCTAAAAAATTAAATAAACAAAACATCCGGATGCAATCTATTACGAAGTAGCGTCCCGTTTGGCCTACCATAGCATAAATAGCAGATTTTATTTTCAAAATCAATTTATTAAAATTTTGCTCCGCCCCTTTAAGATAAACCGCTGGTGTGCTAAATTATATCCCTGTCACAGTCAACTCAGCAGGGATTTCCTAAATCTAAAATAGGGATCCGAATAAAGATTGCAGTCTGGTTATATCCCTCACTGACTGATTGCACTGAATATGGATTTTATTAATATGGCTTCCTGCTGAGCTCTTAAAGCGAAACGGGAATCTAATTTCCTTTATTAATAATGTCTATTAAATGTTAGCATATGAAAATGATACAAATTTAAAAATGATAGGCTGCTTTCCATTCTAACGTCTCGCTTTGTTCAAGTGTATCTCGACCCTTCGCACAATGGCGCGTACGCACGAGCTCGGGCGTGAACGCGCCCAGTCTGGACTGCCGTCTGGTCACAGTCTGCAACTCGGGAAGCGAATAGGAGGGGCGAGTATTGGGGATGCCACGGGAATGATCCATTAACCCCGCATAAACCCACATCCGCATTTATGGATTAGTTTCTCCTGAAGTGTAGAGCGTCATATTTATTGTTTCCGTCCTCACTGAAGTTACTTAAATACCCCTGACTGCTCTTATTCACTTTGCACGCGGACCACATGACGGTGAGTTGAAACACTGACTGTTACTGCACTACTGTTTGCGTGGAGTGGTTTCTGCTATATTGCGTTTTCTCCTGGATGAATGGTGCATTGTTGCGCTGTTTGTAAATAACAAAAGTGCCATGATCACCATTGGGTACATTGAGTACCCAGTGCGTCAATCCCGCAATGAATAACTTATAGCTTAGCTACGGATGGAATATGTAATCAATAGAAATTGATGCATTGTAACACGGTCAGTTGAGTTGTTTGATTCGTATCGAGTTTTAATAGCGATGTCTGTTAGTCCAGGATGGGAAGCGATGTTCTTCCTCTCAAACAGCCTTCTCGGGATTACCCAGACGTCGATGTTTCACCGTCCCCTTTACCTGTCTGCACTTTAGAAAGGGAAATGGACTCCTCCTGCGATACATCGTGGCTCGTGTCGTGTCCTGGCACGTTCAATGAACAAAGAGAAACTGACATGATGCTTCAGGGAAAGTGAAACATAGCAAAGTCACATATTTAGGTCGAGGATGTTGAGATGCGTGTGTGTGTGTTTTTAAGAGCTCATAAAAAGCTCTTACGGCCGCCTGAACAAATGATGACAGCCTGATGCAAGACAAGTCTTTTGTTGTAGTAGCCTATTTTCTTTTGCGATGCTTCTCGAATGGTCCAGTAGGGGGCGCGGGGTGAATTGTGTTGCTGAGGAGGAACACATGGAGAATGACATGAAGAACGTAAACAATCACATCGATCCATATACCTACTTTAAAACCGCCGAACAGAATAAAACTGATATTTCTAAATCTATGGCAGAATAATAGTTTACAAAAAGTAGGGTATTCAGTTCAGCTGTCTTATATGAATTAGTTTTAACATGACCTCATAATCTATTCTAGAGTGTTTACCAAATGCTTGCAACTGGGATTTGTGAAATTTAAGGGGCTAGTTAACCGAAAATTTAATTAAAATTTTTTGTTTCAATCTTTATTCATTTATTTCTTCTGCAGAACACAATATATATATATATATATATATATATATATATATAAAAAGAAAAGAATGTGTAGCTCTATTTTAAGTCTCTATTTTCTTTGCATTATTAATAAACAGGGCTGTCAAATGATTACATATATATATTACCAACATAACATTTAACATATATTAAATTTCAGTCTGTATTTAACACAAAGCAGTTGTGGCAGAATATAGCGGAATATGGCGCACAAGTTGTATGAACCTCTTTTATACTTTTTTTGCATTCTTTTGAAAGTTTCAGTTAATTATAATTACTTGGAAAAGAGCGACCAGTACACAATATAAATTATTTTGTGTTCTGATGAACGAAATAAATCATACAGGTTTGGGACAACATGAGAGAGCGTAAATCATCACAGAATTAATTTTTTTGTGTGAACTATCCCTTTAAAGATAGAAGTAGTAGCAAACATTCCAACCCTTTTCTCATTTAATTGATTTCTTTATTCACTTGTGTTATCAGAAGGACCAGAGATGTTCTGAATGAACGGAGGATCTGGCAGCCTTTCGATAACAATGCTGGAGAACTTGAGCGGAGCCCACATTAATCGACCCGTCCCTAGATCATCCACGTTCAGCTTCTCTGCCCTGTTTGCTCTGCCACACCATCTTCTCATGGATGGGAGCAGTCATCCATTCAGGAGGTACAACTGATGTGAACGGAACTATTAACACACTCACATCCTGCTATACATACTCGTATCCTGTTATTTGTTTATGATTCCTGTGTTTTCCCTTGTTACTTATACCCTAAATGAGCCATATTAAAAAAAAAGAATAATAAATCTCACAATGTGTGACATTCCTCAATTTAATACCTGCTGAGGGACCCATTTTGTGTATAATTATTTAGCATCAATATGATGCCACAGGAGACATGACGTAACATAGATTACTCAGTTCCAGGAACCAGACCGATATTAATGTAAATTCAATGAGTGCAGTCAGGACCAATGTCAATAGAGTACAGTCACCACCACAGCATGCTATGAAAAGTCAATAGCTTGTAATTTGGTTCTTATATAAATACATAATAATATACAGTAACCTATATATACAGTATAAATGTATTTTTATATTTGGAAAATATTATTATTTATATTTATTTATTTGTTATATTTTTAGACCGTTTTAGTACGTTTATCCGATTTTCACGAAAATTGAACCGGATGATCTTCAGAATTCAATTTGATTCTTCAATCAGTTTTTGAACAACATGCAAACGAATTTGACATTGAGTACTCCAAAATAGACTTGAGACTGTATCTCCGCAACCAAACTTGGTATCTGTAATCGCAACCATGACTTGAGTGCATGTTTTGCCACTGTGCCACCTAGTGGTCAGAAGATATGAAAACTGAATTTTTTTGTATATAACATCTAACCAGTTTGACCAAAAATCACAATACTGGTCTCTTTCAATGTGGGGAGCCATGCTGAATCGGATGAAATTTTGCCATTTGGGCGTCGGCCATTTTGAATTTGTCGTAAAATGCTATATTTTACGAATGCATTGGCATATCGTTACAAAACTTGGTAGGCTATGTCATGGATATCTATAATAATGGCTAGATGTCTTACGGCGGAGTCTCTATCATCATAACCGGCGGCCATCTTGTCACAGGCAAGCTTTTTGGCGGGCTCTGTAGTACCTGATGTAAGATGAGTGATCCGCACGAACACAAATACTCTTATCTCGTCGAAATCTTGACGGATTTACAAACGGTTTGGTTTCTTAGAAACGTTATTAACGTTGCTACTTATTGATACACTTATTATTCATAAGTGTGCGGTGTCATAACTACATCTCTGACGTTTATAACAAACCAAACCGTTTGAAAATCGGTAGAAAATTTAGCAAGTTATGGTTATTTAAAAAGTACATGCACCATTAAAGGTGCCATCTGTAAAAATTGAGGTTAAAATATCCCAAAAATGAGCTACACGCATCAAAAGATTGAGAAGAAATAAGGTTGATGATGTCATTAAAAAACTGACAAGTAATAGTGCTGCCGAGATATTAACCTGAATTAGCATGCTAAATTACTAGCCCCGGCCCGGCAGGTGTCGTAATACCAGTTTAGACCATGGGAGGCGGTATGCGGGCGGGCAACGTTACCACCAGCCAAACTGCAGTACACGAGTAAGTCGCGCTCGCGCCAGCTTGTGTGTACTTGAACCTGACGTCAGTCGTGTGGAAAATACAGCCCAGTACTACATTTCAGTTCAGGGAAGAGTTAAAAAAAACGATTGGTCGATATTATGCATGAGGAATACATTTTGGTAAGTTGTAGCATACTGTATCTTTCAACAGTGTTCGTGTTCTTTTACCATTAGCTAGTAGAGATGATCGGTTCACGTGCGTTAGGGATCTGTCGTGTAAAGAGGCAATACTGTATTTATTGTTTGAATTGCGTAATAAAATGAACAGAATCTGAGAGCTGACATCGGTCTCCGTGTCCTTTTCTGTGCATGACAGAATTGATGTGTGGCGTGAGAGTGTGTGAAAAGTGTTGTGAGAGTTGGCAGCTCTGAAAGGCGCTAGCTTGGTCCACATCAGGGAATGCTGTCTGTCAAATTAATTAAAACTAATGATAAAAATGTAATATAAACAAATCGAATATTATAAAACTAGAAATAATAGCCTAGGCTTTAATTTTCCCATATCGTCGAAATGCACCGGCTTGTCTATGAGATGGCCCTTATAATTTAGTATTGAGATGTTGTTCATTTAGTCTCTAATCTGTAAAAATCTTCAAATGCTCCACGCGAAACTGCGGTCTTCCAACCTTTTACTATCGTGTCAATTGATTTGATTAATATGCACGAGGGAGACAGAGCAACACAGCGCTCGCCCATGTTGTTTGAAGACATGAGAGAGCGCGTGGCCGTGGAGGTATTTCTGGAGGTATACTGCCCCCATCTGGTATGGAATATGTTGTATTATTTGATTTTAAATCCCAGAGGGCACCTTTAAAACACAATGTTACGAGTGAGCGAGCTGCCTGTGACAAGATGGTCGCCAGATTCGAACGTCGACCTCCAGTGGCCAGCAGTGTGGTTGAGACATTTAGCCTTAATTATGTATATTTATGGGCTATGTGTCTTCGGCACAATGCCTTGAACGTATTTAAAAGGTTTCAGGGCAGCGCCACCTTGTGGTCAATAATTATAACAAAATTAAAACAAAATAAAAAATGCTAATAACTTTTGATTAGTTTTGCTCATTTTATTTGATCGATTCTCTGACAACATACATACCAATTTTTCTATTTTTCGAACATTTGTCCAATTTTCCCCAAATTTGGAATATAAAATATATTTTATCACATTATATAATTTATTCTATTATTTATTATTATTATTATTATTATTATTATATATTAATACAGGGATAATATTATAATATTGATGTAATAATGAAAAAAATAAATAAATGTATTAAATAAGATATATTAAATATATAGTCTATTTATTATCATTCTCTTGGTACAAATCATAAGCTTCAGTGCTTAGTGAACCTCTATTCAACAAACCTCATGATTTGAGGTATTTTAAAACCTCACACTGCACAGGAGGAACAGGCTGTTACTCCCTTGTACTGGGAGTGTGAAAGAAATGTTTTGTGTTGCATAACTATTAAACAAGATTGGTTTATCCTTGTGTGTGTGTGTGTGTGACAGAGAGAGAGAGACTAAGGAAAGGATATGAATGTAATGTTAGGAGGAAGGAAATTGATTTCTCTACAGTAAAGCAGTAGTTTCCTCCCCTTCTACGTCTCTAGCTGCATCTCTCTAGCTCCTCCCCTTCTCTCACTTGTTGTTGTGGTTCTGGACTAACTGTTGTGTGTTTTTAACCATGAGGACTCTGTACCGCTTAAAGTTGGTGAGTTCTCCAAATCTGAGTCAGCTGGGGAAAAATGAGAAGGCTTCATTGGAAGAGAGAGGATCAGGCCCTAATGCCACATGGAACAGGTTAGTTAGTGCGTGTTTTGTGTCCAGCACATGTCCATAAACTGAGATGTAATTTCACGTCTGTGTGATTTATTTCAGCATTCACAACGCAGTTATTGCTGTATTCCAAAAGAAAGGACTGGCAGACAATGAACTCTATACGCTCAATGAAGGCGTGAGGTGAGGCAAAACAACATTTTTATACATTTTTGTGAATTATTTATTTCGCTATAATGGTTACTGTTAGCGGTGTGTGAAATGTAGACTTTAACACACTGTCAGCTGTGATCTGAGGCTTCACATTATCAGCACAGAACAGTTGTGAGAGGACGCAGAGCCTCAGTCCGATATTATGTAACTATTACAAGAATAATTGTGAAGCAAGAACATCCCAAATAAAAAAAACATACCCACATCATAATTCACCCCAAAATCAAGAGTAAAAAATAAGAAATTATTTGACATAAAAGGGGATTTCACACTTTAAATTGTAAACCATATTCATTCTAAACCACGGAAAAAAGGAATCCATGGTTATTATCATTATAAAGAAGGCTAAGCTTAATTTTTGTAAAAAAAAAATATATATATATATATTATATATTTTATATATTTTTAATTTTTTGTAAAAAAAAAATATTATTTTGCATTGAATTTGTGACACTATTCTATATATCATAAATAAGAACACCCCTCATTCTCATTACTGTAATGCATCTGCATTGTTTTACTATTAGGTTTGTTTATCATTCTCATTATTTTCTATGCACATCTCAGTATAATAATGCACTAATGGAAATCATTTTGTCTGGACACAGTGATTAAAAACAGCTTAAGTTAAAGATCATAATGATAATGGTACTACCTTGTTGTATAAATAATTGAGTAAATAAAGTTGTTTTTTTTTTTTCATTTCTTTAATAAGTATTTTGGGGAAATTGTGATTAAAATAATGCCTATAACAATGAGAAAACAGTACAAAAAAACAGGCACTTTTATGCTAAATATATTATAAATATGTTCTAGGGATGGGCAAGAGTGATCAAATGCTATTTGCCCGTGTATCAGCGTGCTGTTAAGCGAAGTGCATCCAGAGTTTTGTAAAAAAAAATATATATATATAATAATAATAATGAAAACTAGCATGTTCAAGTTCACATGCGCATTAGTGTCCTTGTGTGCAGATGCAAGTTGTAATGTTTTTTTCCTAGTAATAGATTCATGTTTTCATAACTTTTCATGTCATATTTTTATGACGTGTCCCGGGCTTAAGTGTTTTTGTTTTTTTTTTTCATTACATTTTGGGGTGAAATATTTCAGCATATTTTTGACAGTCATTTAAATCAAATGCTTTATTTACTTTACATTATATTTAAGAATTTTATATTTTTCTTCTGAAAAATTTGTTAACATGTTTATGATATTGTATATTTGTTCTCAGGCAGCTATTGAAAACAGAGCTGGGCTCGTTCTTTACTGAATACCTCCAGGTTAGAAAATGTTGATGAATGAGATGTGTTTGTTCTAATATACTCTTTTTTTTTTATATATATATAAACTTTTTCCTTCCTTTTCCCCCCATTATCAGAATCAACTTTTAACAAAAGGCATGGTCATTTTACGGGACAAAATAAGGTTTTATGAAGGTATACCCTCCCATTTGAACAACAAAACACATGTACAGAATTGCAACATTACACAGCATTTCACTTTGTACACAAGCAACACAATCTGTTTCTCGTTTTGCTGAAATAGGTCAGAAGTTATTGGACTCTTTGGCTGAGACATGGGACTTTTTCTTTTGCGATGTTCTCAATATGCTTCAAGCCATCTTCCACCCAGTACAGGTACAGTCCAGTCATACTGTCAGACATCAGATACAGCAGCGGTGTGTGAATCTGTGTGCATGATGTTCATGTTCAGGGGAAGGAGCCGTCGGTGCGTCAGCTGGCCCTGCTGCACTTTCGTAACACCATCACCCTTAACGTGAAGCTCGAGGAGGCTCTGTCCAGACCACGAGCCCGTGTTCCTCCCTCCATCGTCCAGATGCTTTTAGTGTTACAGGTACACATGAACTGCAAGCACACCCTTTTCACAATCCTCTTAGATAACCTGAAGGTTCCAGCCATCCCGTCATGAGCTGCACCCAGAAATGATAGCATAGTGACTTCAAGACAGATAATTTGTGATGGCGTAAACAATTGTGTCATGTAAGTGTCTCAACTAGAACGACTGTAAAAGGGATAGTCAAGGTGAAACTCCTAAATATGTCATCTTCACTTCTTACAGGGGGTTCATGAATCCAAAGGTGTGAGTGAAGAATACCTGAAGCTGGAGTCTCTGATTCAGAAGGTGGTGTCTCCGTACCTGAGCACGCAGGGACTGTGTTCACATGAGTGTGGCGCATCTCACTGCTCGTGTGTGATCGGTGAGACACCAGCATTACAGACACAACATTTAGTCTCGTTTCTTTCTCGCTGGATAGTTCACACAAATGTTATGCTTACCATGTCTGCATTTATTTGCAAGGCTGTGTTTATTATTATTTTTTATCCAAAATACAGTCATTTAAAATAATTTACATTACATACTTATGTTTTAAAATGTCATTTATTTGAATATATTCAGAGATAAAAAAAAAAGGTTAGGTAAAAAGGTGGATGTTTTAATTTATTACGACTTTTTTACACTGTGTGAGATTAAGCTCAAAATATTAAGATTGATATAATTTGCTAAATTTAAAATAATATCTGTAATAGATTTACTTTGTATTTGTTTCTTTTTTTCTACACACTGCTAGAATAAAGTTCATTGTATAAACCTAAGATAAATATTTTGAATTCAATTATTTGTAGATCACTTTACACAAAAAATAACAGTGGCTAGGAAAAACTATAAAAAGAATACAGAAATACAAATTATGTCTCAAGTAATAACATATGTCGCAACACTGTAAAAAAATATTTTCATGAATTGTAATCACATCATTTTTTCTTTTGTCAAATCAACTTAGATAATTTATGTAGTTCAGATAACATAATATTTTGAGTTTCTGATCTCCTTCATTGTATTAACTCATTTTTTCCATTTCAATGAACTTAAAATTTTAAGGCAACCAGGTTACTTATTTTTTTAAGTTTAACCAACAATATTTTTTTACAGTGAAAGAAGGAGAGATAAACACTGAAATGTGTCCAAAAATGTGTTTTTCTATATTTAATTATTACTGTTAAAAATGAGGGCTGTCAGTAGAATAAAATTATTGTGATTAATCTCTTGAATTCCAGCAAAAGCATATTGAAAATGTCAAATCTAATTTGATAAATGTGCTAAAAAATAACTTGCATTCATTTTGCATTTAATAAATAGACGAACTGTCCCAATTATGTTCTCCACCCATAAACATTTGCTCTGATCATATATGAATTCAGCCACTTGAATCTAAAGTATTTGAATTTGAAATCTTTATTTCAAACATGGAAAAGAAAGTATATAAAAACAACAAATGAGCAGCAAACAAAGTTACATGTGCGAAAAGGAGTAGGAAGAAGTAAATCTTATATACTCCCACCCCCGTAATGTGTATCAGAACGGTACTGTAAAAAAGCAGTATATCATAACTAAGATCTTGAAAATCGTTCCAGAGAGGCGTTTGCAGTATTGCTGGTCCAAGTCTGCAGACCTGCCCTCCAGTAACCCAGTGGTGCGCTCCAAGAGTTACAACATCCCCATGCTGACCCCCGTGGCCGAGTACGACTCCGAAGTGAGCTCTGTGGGCAGCGTGGGCATCCGGCGCCACTCCGCATGCGATGTCACTTCCTGCATAGAGCACCAGGGCTATTCGGCCCTGTCTGTGGGAATAGAGACCAGCTCGACCCCCAGACTATCCCTGGATCACGAGCTCACCCTGTCCGGCGTGGTGCGAGGAGCCACGGGACAGCCCTCGCTAATTTCTCCGCCCGTCTTCATCCACACCTCCGCGGGGTGTCTGCACGCACCGGACGCCCAGGTGGCTTCACCCGAGGTGGACAAAGGCCTTCCGTCACCCCCGAGCTGCTCCTCCAGTCCGGAGACCATTGTAATGCAGGGGCTGGACTCACTGGAATCGGATCCTGACGGAGTCTTCATCGACTTTTCCCACTGCCGCTCCGATTCTTTTGGAACAAGCAGGAAAACTAGCTGATGGAATTAATTGCTGTGAAAAATCCATTTCAGATGATTGATCATAAACTACTACTTTTTTTTTCTTTTTGTGAACTTGTGAAGTAGCTCTGTACCGTATGTATTTTTAAAAAGCCGAGGCTGCTTTGCGGAAAAATGGGAGAGGACTTTGTTTAAAGCAATTGTTTTCATAATGTTCTAAACCTGTGAATTTTTCTTCATAGTTTTTCATCGATAATAGTCGATTTTAATTCGTATGCATTTTACTGTCTCTCATTTTATGTTTAAAGCTGCAGTCACATTTACTGCTGGTGAATTTTCATGAGGAAAATCCAGTCATTTCAATAGGAATCCATCTTTACATTATTGACAATTGACCTTTTTAGTTCGCAAAATGTGACTGCACCTAAAGTGAGCTTGTGTTATGAGGTGACAGTATCACTAAATGTAGAAATCTCTTCCATTACTGTCACTCTTAATCTCATGCACTATTTATTGTCATAGGGCTTTTAAAAACTACATTTAGTGCTTATAAATCATTGCCAATCTAACCTGCACTCTTAATGGTATAAAATGAAATGTATCTCTCAATTTGTGAGAATAACTATTGCTAATGACAATACAGTGCAGAACATTGTATGTTCTCAAGCTTGTTGATATTTTATGTGATGATTATGAGCTGCCAGAGAGAAAACAGAGTTTGCTAATTGAATGTTAACAAAAACTCCCTTTTAGCTAGTTGATAAAATAGTTCAAATGCAGGAAAAAATATGTGTTAGATGAGACTGCATAGAAAATGTATCTTATTGGCTACAAGATGTTATTTAATAAGGTAATTTTATATAACATTTGCTTAAATTAAAAAGGCCATTGACTGATTTCTTTATAATTAAATAGTTAATTTAAACTGTTAAATAGCCGTAGGCATAATTGGATAAATGTATATTCTAGAATAGAATATATGAAACATTGTAAGGTAAAGAGTTGTTATTTTTGTTTCTCTTATTTTTATGTATGGAAGCTTTTTGACTTAGTTTATAAATTGATCAATTTCTCTGTAGTTTTATAGAAAGAAATTGAGCATAGATTTTTACACAAGGAACATTTTTAGAATTTTGAAAGGTTTACAGTGGTACTTTAATACTTTGCACTGTCATTTCTGAAGTCTGTGCTTTGTTTCATACTGAATTTGTTATCAGCTTTCATGTGTGCTGCTGTGGACAACCTCAACAAGAGTGAATTTGTAGTAAGATACTTTTATGCTTCATGTTTATGACTGTTTCAGAGTGCAAGAGGATGGCTCGGTTTTATACGGGTCAGGCTCATATATCTATGTTTGTCTTTCTAGATTTTGTTATAATTTCCTTTAGTCACTCTTTCGATAAAATGAACAGGTTTGCCGAGGAAATATGCGTGAAAACGAGATAACTGGAGCTTGTATTTGTTTACGTCCGGTGACGTTGAGCCGGAAGCAAGGTTTGATTCGTGAATGAATCATTCTTTTGAACCGAATCTTTTGAATAAATAAGTTTAACCCTTTTTTACAGTCTATGATTGAAACGCTTCATAAACCAACAACACGTTTTGCTATTATTTGCTAAATTCGCTGTACCGAGACCCATTGAAATCCCAATTAGCAGAAAACGAAATAGGCATTTTGAGTGAAACGAGGATTTGAATCAAAGTTGCTATATAGTACCTAAATATGAGAAATGAGGACCTAATTTTGTGTTTCATCAACACACAAAACAGAATGTTTAATTTTATCTTCTGTGTCGTAACCTTTTCAACTATGAGACGTAAATTCTTTTGTATAGTTTTTATTAGCTGAATGTCTGGTTTTATCAATAAAAATGATTTCAAAATGTGATTTTTATGTTTTATGAATGTAAAATGTCAGACAATACGTGCATTTTAAAAGGATCGCGTGCGCCTTGACGTAGGCGTCTATCAGTTTTGTGAACCAGTTCTTTGAAACTGCTCAAAAGAACCGATTCGCTGAAACGAGTCGGACATCCCATCACGAATGGGGGTGTTGTTGTTGTAAATAAACACAATTTGAATTAATTTGGGAAAATGCAATGCCTTATAAGTTTTTAAAGAAAAAATAATCTTTTTTATATACACTTCGGACATTTTGAACATAAACGTATGGTGTTTTTCATACAATAAAAACAATCCGGAGAATATTCACCCTCCCCGTTTTGAAAGGATGAAGACAAAGGCTACCGGAAACCGGACTCCATAGTTTTCGTCAAATGGCTGGTTTGTATTCATGCGAAATCGTTTGTTTTCTCCAACCATAAACGTTTCATTTTTCAAAGTCTTTTCGGTGAGCTTTTTCATGGATTTGAATGTATGTTTACTAAACATGTGTCGCGATCTGGAAACAGCCGTTACTAAGACCTGGCGGTGCAAATACAGCGTCTACTCCGACGTAAGCTGGTTATTCCGAGCGAATGAATCTCACACCAAGTTTTAAATGCAACAAAGCGCGGTCGTTTTTTATTTTTGTTGTACGTTTACTTCGCTCTGACATTTCTCCCGGTGTTTTGTTTTACATGCGGTCCTCACCGGCAGAATTCCACACTACTAACTTCGCTAAGCTAACGAACTGCTCTTAGAAATGGAGATCCACATCTCGAGCCTTTTCCCGGAGATCTTAGCGATGATTTTCAACTACCTGGACGTTAAAGGCAAAGGCAGAGTCGCGCAAGTGTGCACCGCATGGAGAGACGCCTCGTACCACAAATCAGTCTGGAGGGGAGTAGAAGCCAAACTCCATCTGAGAAGAGCAAACCCATCGCTCTTCCCCAGCCTCCAAACCAGAGGGATCAAGAAAGTCCAGATCCTCAGCCTGAGACGCAGCCTCAGCTATGTCATTCAGGGCATGCCCAACATCGAGAGCCTTAACTTGAGTGGATGCTACAACCTAACAGATAACGGCCTCGGTCATGCTTTCGTGCAGGACATACCCTCATTGAGGATCCTCAACCTCAGCCTTTGCAAACAGATCACTGATTCCAGCTTGGGCAGGATTGCGCAGTATCTGAAGAACTTGGAACTGTTGGATCTCGGTGGGTGCAGTAACATCACCAATACGGGGTTATTGCTCATCGCGTGGGGCCTTCATAACCTCAAAAGCCTGAACTTGAGAAGCTGCCGGCACGTTTCGGACGTGGGCATCGGGCACCTGGCCGGCATGACGCGCAGCGCCGCGGAGGGATGCTTGAGTTTGGAGCACCTCACCTTGCAGGACTGTCAGAAACTCACCGATCTGTCGCTCAAGCACATTTCCAAGGGGCTCAGTAAGCTGAAAGTCCTGAACTTGAGCTTCTGCGGCGGGATTTCCGACGCCGGCATGATCCACCTGTCACACATGACCCAACTCTGGACTCTTAACTTGCGCTCCTGCGACAACATCAGCGATACAGGCATCATGCATCTCTCCATGGGCGCTTTGAGGCTGTACGGGCTGGACGTGTCGTTTTGCGACAAAGTGGGCGACCAGAGCCTGGCTTACATCGCGCAGGGCCTGTACCAGCTCAAATCCCTGTCGCTTTGCTCCTGCCACATCAGCGACGACGGGATCAACAGGATGGTCCGGCAGATGCACGAACTGAAGACGTTGAACATTGGCCAGTGCGTCCGGATCACGGACAAGGGCCTCGAGCTCATTGCGGATCACCTGACGCAGCTGACCGGGATCGACCTGTACGGCTGCACCAAAATAACCAAAAGGGGACTAGAGAGAATCACGCAGCTGCCATGCCTTAAGGTGTTGAACTTGGGACTTTGGCAAATGACCGAGGTCAAGGGTTTAGGAGACGCATCTGAGATCCTGCCCTGCTACGCCTCGTAACGTTTACGCTACCTCAGTGTCGCCAGTGATGTCTTGTTTTTCTAGAGACGTGTATTATATTAATAAGACGCACAGTCGCACCATCATGTACTTCGTTACTAAGCCTGTTTGGAAAAGGGGCTTGATGTAGTTCAAATTGAATCAGCAATAAAACACTGAACAGCCTTCCTAATGGTATAGTCTGAAATATGATGGCTCCCTTGAATGCCTTTGTTTTTCTGAGCCTCAAATTGAGGTAAAATGTCTTTTCTCATTTTCACTGACAAACGCATTTTGTCACTGCCTTTAAGTATTTATCCTGAAATACCAGCAATTGGAGAGAGGGAAAAAAAAAGTTTACCACGTGTGTGTGTGGACAAGGACGGAAAACTTGCTTGTTCGTTTTATGTGATTCCTCCCTGGTAAAATGGAACATATGCAATTTAAACTTTGTTAAAAAAAAAAAAGAGGCCAGTTTGCTTGTTAAAGACCTACAAGATGTCTGTTTATTTTCCTATAAATGATTAAAGCTAAAATTGTTTTTAACTAAATTGTTTTCCTGTTATAATTTTTATACTTCATGTTCTACAATTCTCTTTTTATTTTCCCACCACACAGATTAATAAACATCTAGAAAGTGCTGTACTATTGATGCTTTATGTACATTTAATTGCAAGTAGAAATGCTTACATAATCCCATACTCCAATTTTACAAACCTATATTGCACCAGCTAGAAATCCAAATAGCTATAAAATAGTATTTCTTTAAAAATTGTAATGAAAAATAGCTGTAAAAGACGTTTATTAGTCAAAAGATGTGTGCGTTTTAAAATACAAATGATATATAATGAAACCCCATTATCTGCTTAAATGACAGGAATGTTAAATCATATTGATATGTAGAGAACTATAATACATATATATTTATAACATCTATAAATGTCATGCATATTATACAGATATAATGTTACAAATATCTTTACATTTATATTACAAAAGTTGAATTGATTACGCATTTGAATCGGACGCATCAAAAACACTTATAATGCTTAATAATGACAAGAACATTATTAAACAGTTTACTGCTTCTTTTCTGTAGTCCTTATAATAATTTGGCAGCTGAAAAATAACCTTTGAATGTTTCAACAGGTATGAAGCGAGGCTGTGAGGGATAGACTTGCTGTGTTTTTAGTGGCATCCGCTGTAAAAGCCTGTGTAACTCCTAGATCACTTATTTCCCACAGCTCATGCAAGTAGTTTTGTCTACTGAAATTTCTTGGAAAGATGTTTTTGCAGCATTTCATAAGAAGAACAATCCAAAAACATTAAATAGCAGTAAAACCCACAGAAGAGATGTATGTCTATCCCTCAGCCTCAACCAAAGATGGCACTGTAGTGAATAAGTGGATATTCTCTGTGCCCACTGTCTTATTGTTTTCTGCTGGCATGAATATTCCTGTACTTGCATGTCAGCAGATGTTTGAAGGTGTTCTTGAAGGTGACATTGCACAGGGCATAGCAAGCGGGGTTAACCGTACTGTTTATGTAGCAAAGCCAGTAGCCAAAGGTCCACATTGTGCTTGGAATACAGGCCGAGCAAAAAGTGTTGATGAGTACCATGACATTGTAGGGAGTCCATGTGGCTGCAAACGCCAATAGAATGGCCATAATGGTCCTTGTTACCTTCTTCTCCCGCGAGGATAAACCCTTCCTCTTCTGAGACCGTGGCATGAGAATCTTCTGCGACACCAGACTCAGCCTCTCCTTCCCGTTGGTCATGTCCTGACCTCCTTTGTTGTTTTGTTTATAGGTGTTTTGCGGGTCCTTTTGGGGTGTTGTTCTGAAGCAGGTAAATCTGACCCAACTACCTGTGGCCAGCGGAGCTGATTGGGTCTGACGGCTTCTGATGTCACCGTTAGTGCTTATAGATACGGCCTCCTCGTCCCGCTGGTGTGAAGAAGCGACCACACTTCCAGATATAGAGTCATTCTCACTCTCTCGCTCTTCTCCTGCGGGTGAGTACAATATATTTTCAGTCAGATCTTAGATGATGCCAAGATTTAACTATATTTGGTTCAGATAAATGGAGGGAAAAACATATTTGTGCTTGACTGGATATGGTCTGCTGCCAAGCTCCAAAAAAGACCCTAAAAGTAGTTAATATGTCTGTTTTTCTCACACAAAGTATATCTGCTTACAATATAAGTGCACTTATATATGAGTGAACCAATTTTTTTTTTAGATTAGATAATTAGTTAATGTTTTATGTTTATATTGATTATTTCCAACACATTTACTAATATTACAGTCAGATATCATAAGATATTAGAGATTACTCAATCCAATAAAATTAGAAAGAAATACACACATATACGTATATATTTCATCAAGGATCGGTGATAAAAATAATTCATCATTATTTCTATTTAATAAACTTTCTATTCATCAAAGGGTCCTGAAAAAAATGTAAGTATCAAAACTTTTCAACATTAAGATAGTAAGAAATGTTTCTTGAGAAGCAAATCATCATAGAATACAATTGAAGGATCATGTGACACTGAAGGCTGGAGTAATGATGAAAATGCAGCTTTAAAATCAGGAATAAATTACTTTTTAAATATATAAAATATTAAAATAGAAATAGTTCTTTTCATTTGTAATAATATTTAACAAAATTAACATTTTTACAATATTTTTGATTAATATAAATACAACCTCGGTGAGCATAAAAAAAAAAGTTTCCAATTTTGAAAGGTACTGTAATTTTTTTTCTGTATGTATATATCTAAAATACTTTCACAATAAACTCGATTTAATGTTATTTATAATCTGTTCATCATATAATTTTACTAAGCCATATGGATTATCTTTATGATATGATATACTGTATTTTTTTTATATATTTATGAGGAACAGAAATCTCTCAGATTTCATTAAAATATCTTCATATGTGTTGCAAAGATGAATGAAAGTCTTACGGGTTTGGAATGACATTGTGAATGAACCCTTTAACAATAACAACACTTGATCAAAAAGTTTGGAAACTCCTCGTATAAACTATTTTTATTCTTCTCTTTTTTTTTGGAGCACGACAGCCCCCGTTCTCAATAACATTGTATAAAGAGCAGTGTGAACATTCTCCAAAAAATCTTCCATTGTGTTTAACGGAAGAAAAAAAAAGTCATACAAACCTGTAGTGGCATCTGAAGCACTCTGCCTGCGTGGAATCATTTCCTCTCCTCCTTGGATTGACTTCCTCTCCTTATTGTTAGTTGTTGGTCCAGCCTGGCCTCCATCATTACTGACTCTAGAAATTCCCCGATTGTCTCCGCTTCGGACACGACTGCGGCTGGCTTTGGAGATCTGCCAGTACAGTACGGTCATAGTGACGACCGGCATGTAGAAGGCAGCGATGGCGGTGCCGAAGGTGACCGTAGCGTTGGAGAAAAACTGGATGTAGCACTCGCCTTCAGGAACCGTCCGGCTGCCCGTGATGAACTGCCAGAACAGGATGGCTGAAGCCCAGAGAATGAACGACAGGATCCAAGCTGCTGCGATCATCATGCCTGCCATCTTGTGGGTCCTTTTGACCGGGTAGCTGAGAGGTTTGGTGACGCAGAAATATCGGTCAAAGCTGATGATGAGGAGGTTCATAACAGAGGCGTTGCTCACCACGTAGTCCAGAGCCAACCAGAGGTCACAGACCAAAGCTCCTAAAGGCCAGTGGCCAGTCACAATGTACACGGTGTAGAGGTTCATGGAGAAAACACCAATGAACAGGTCGGCACATGCTAGACTGAACAGGAAATAGTTGTTGACGGTCTGGAGGTTCCTGTTGACCTTGATGGAGAGCATGACCAGCACATTGCCAATGATTGTGATCAGGCTTAAAGTGCTCAGTCCGAGAATGACGAGAACAAGCTTGACTTGTCCGAATGAACGGTTTAGGGGAAAGTTAGTTGTGTTAGCAAAGCCAGGGCTTGGAGAAAGGGTTTGGTTGGAAGTCTCCATCTTTCCTTGTCACAGGGCATGCACATCAGAACCTAAGGGTTGGGGAAAAAAGGGTAAAATTACCTATATTTACTGTTGTGCTTTTACATTTCGAAATGTTTTTAATTGGGTCAGTTCGAAATACCAGATGATGGCCCAAAAGTCTAGACCAACTACATAGCATTGGGATAAAATGCCACTCAATACCCTGGCAACATTTATCACAGTTACTTTTGGAGTCATAAATAAGTATTTGAGTTTGGTTTCCAGCTTTTCTAATTGCTATATTGTTTTTTGTTTTTTATTTCAGCTTTTTTTCATTTCATTAATTTTGTTTTCATTAACATTGGTCCAAATACTGTTTACTATACATCTTTTATAAAAAATACAATAAATTGTTAAAAGGTTAGTTCACCTAAAAATGAAAACGATCCCATAATTTTCTCACCGCCAAGCCATTCTATGTGTACATGACTTTCTTCTTTCAGCCGAGCACAGTCAGAGTTATATAAAAAAAATATCCTGGCTCTTCCAAGCTCTATAATGGGAGTGAATAGAGATTTTAAAGCACAAAAAAGCACATCCATCCATCATAAAAATAATCCACATGGCTCCAGGGGTTAATAAAGGCCTTCTGAAGAGAAGCCATTGGGTTTTTGTAAGAATATGTCCATATTTATGGACAGAGAGTCCTCTGACCTCTGGCCATGTGGATTACTTTTATGATGGATGGATGCACTTTTTTGGCTCAGTTACTATTCACCCCTCCCATTATAAAGCTTGGAAAAGCCAGGGCATTTTTTTAATATAACTCAGATTTTGTTTGTTTGAGATAAGAAAGTTATGATGAACACCTATGGCTTGAGGGTGAGAAAATGGGGTATTTTTCATCTTTGAGTGATGCTTTCTTTAAAATGCAACATAAGTCCTGTGCAAAAGACAACTCCTATCTTTATGGTTCACTATATCACATATGGAGAGAGAACTAGTGTGTATCTTTGCGGATGGAGTATGTTTGCCAAACATCATTCTCAAAAGTCAAAACAGAGCGCTCATCTGTATTGTTTTTTGCTGCCAGATTTCCATTAAGGCAAAGGAGAACAGCATCACATTGATGGGCTTGATAATACAGAAGGGAAAACATGACTAACTGTGATTTTATCTTAGATATTTTAATGTTGGATGGAAGGAAGGACTCTGATAGCACATGTCTTATTTACTGTCGCCAGGAAGGCCTCTGAAGGGGAATAATCTTTAGCAGAACAACATGTACTGTACTTCACGCTTCAGTATGGAACAGGATCAAAAACTGCATTTTAAACAACTAGATTTGACATTTTTTGTAGAAAATGGTGCTGTGTTATTAAAACATAGGTGTGTGGTTGCTTAAGTGGTTAAGAGGGTTGCTAATGCGTTCTGTGTGGTCTTACCATGTGGTTGCTAGGTGTTTTGGTGTGTTTTTGGGAGGACTGGGGAAAAAAATTCTTTCAGATTTCAAATTCTGTCAATTTTATTCCATATGACAAAACGGCCAAATACTATGCACATGGCACCCGTTATCGATAATATAACACGCGTAGGTTTAGGTGTGGGGTAGGGTAGAGCAGTCTCATATTACGCTAAAGGATTTATGACGCCTTTCGCGTGTTATATTAACGATAAAGGGTGCCATGTGCGTAGTATTTCGCCGTTTTGTCATATAGCGTCATATATTACGCTAAAGGATGAGAATGGGCTGAAATAGCCTACCGTTTTGGCGCTCTTTAATGTGACGCGACCGACGTGACAGATAGCTGTTGCTGCCTCAGATCAAGTGAGAACATGACGATCGTCTCTTCCTCTTTACTAGTTACAGCACGAAATAAACATGAATAAAATGTCTAAAGGTATGTTGAAAGATACAGTACAACTTGCAGAAATGTATCATGTCAATAAAAGTTTTAAAAATATGTCACATAATGTTACATTTATCAAGTCATTCAATGTCCATAAACTCATTATTCAGTTAGAAAATATATACTGTTCTTCAATATTTAAAGTGTATGAATAAATCCTTCATGTTTTTATGGCAGCCAAGTACAGTATAAGCATAATTATGTCATTAAAAGTTCTCATTATTAAAACTTATTTGTAAGCTGTATGCAAGATTGTGGCCAAAACTGGTACTGCAATCACTTTCAAATTTGGGTGTATCTCAGATTCATATCGAGGCAACGTTAGACATTTTTTAAAATCTGATTCCGACACGTTTGTATTCTGCAGCTGTGGTAACTAGAGAAGAGCTGGCAACCCGAATGCCGCAACCACTTTGTGATTTGTCGATCGGTGGAGGGAGACGCAAAACAAAACACAACATGACAACATCTGCAACTTTTTAAATGACAATATCCTGACTGGACTACTGTTGTCAGTGATATAAGTATTTGAAATGAACATGATTTCTTAATGTCTAGTGACATATCAAGGAAAATGTGATTAATTGAAATAAATTTCTTGCATCCAGCTCCTTTAACCTTTAATATTATAGCCTAGTGAATTACCAACTGGGATTCCTTGTATAGTGTACACCATTGAGAGAAATTTGTTCCTTGAAGAAAATTTGCTATGTACCTGATAGGCCCCAATTAATCGATATCGAATTAAATTGCAAAATCATTGAACCAAATCGTTACATGCGGTTGCCAGAGTGTAACTATGTGGTTTCTAAGGTGTTCTGGGTGTTTTTTTAGCACGTTATAAATAATACAGTTGCAGGGTTTTCTTATTAGTTGCAAGGGCTTTGCTGTGGTGGTCTCTATTGGGTTTCGAGCATGTGACTGTGGTTACTGAAATGCCACTACGAGGTTTCTCAGATGTTGATTTTTAGTGATTTTTAGCATTGCTACCATGGTATTCTGTGTTGCCTGGGTGTTCTGAATAGTTGTTAGGGTCGTCATTTGGGTCAATAGTGTGTTACTGTGCAGTTGCTTGAGCATTGCTGGGTGCTTGCTAGTGTGTTTTGGGTGGTTAGTCTGTTACTCTGCAGTTTCTTGGCTGTTCTGAATGGTTGCTAGGTAGTTGCTAAGGTGTTCTGATTGGTTGTTATTGTGTTGCTATGAAGTCTGCATGCCTTACCAATTGCTGCTAATTAAGTAACTCTTTGTGAGGTCATCTTGGGCGGAGCTATGTAATTTAATATAATGCAAACAGATGATATATGTTGTTCATATGTGAGCTACTGGGCAAATATGTACTCTGTTAATAAAGTTTGAATAGATTTTAAATGACTGAGTGAGGTTTTGGTTTTACTACTGTGCTTAAAAGTTAATGGCCTTCAGTCGGTTATCCTGTTTATTAAAAGTATATATTGTGGGGTTAGGGTTAGTCTGGTCATCATCACTCACAGGATGAAGAGTGAAGGGTGAAGATTTGTGGTGGTCTGTGCTGCATAATCTCTTTGAAGGACAAATTACATTATGACCTAATTTAATATGAATAATGTGAATGGATCAACATATTTACGATTCGAAGCACTTGGTATTTGTCTGCTGTTTTAAGTGAGACTAATACTGATGTGCTGTCACGTTTGCTCACTTCTCACTGTGACATGATGTTGCTGACCAAAAAAAAAGAGGAAACCATCAAGATGGAAGGTATAAAACACAAATATATAATCTTTATTTATCTTAAGATCGTACTGACTTCAGTAAGCCATTCTCACCTTCTAACTTGTGCCACGAGTTCTTGTTGGAAAGCCAGGGTCATACAGGACAGCCATGTGGGAAATATCTCAGCGCTGTGACAAAGAACAGCAATCTTAGCACCGGTGATAAAATTTGTACCTCAGATTGGTTAGTGTGTGTAAGTTTATGTGTTTTGCTTTACATAAATTCTTTACATATTTAGTTGTCACACTTGTAACTCCAGTGAATTTTACTCAGGGTGGGTTTGTTTTAAAAAGCCCGTTTACGGTGCTTTAAAGTATTGGCTACAAAAATGCAAATATTTCCACCATTATTGCTTAGGCAAAAACTACAGTTCATTTAACACACAGTGACATTTTGTGACATTCCCCAATAGCAAATTTATAAAGGGGTAAGTTGTCACATTGGTTGTCACACAGTAAAAGAATTATGAAATTTCTGCATTTTCAGTGTTATTCTCCCCTGAATAAATTATCTCCCCCAGTCTCTCCCATAAATTAATCTCCCCCAGTTAATTTAACCCATATTGACCTTTTGTGCCTTAATAGCATATTAAAGTGTATACATAATATATAGGGTCACGACACGTTGTTTCAATAAAACTTGTCACTGAACATCCTATTAAAGACTTTTACTTAATTTTGAACAGTAAAACAATTATGAAATACAAAAAATATATATATAAAAGGAAGCACAAATCCAACATATATTTATAAATTGTGTAAATATAGTTGAAAGCACATGACAACGTGTGCCCTTTGAGAACAAATGCACTACTTAAACATAGCCAGCCTGTGTACGTTATAAACAAATTAAATACCTAATACCTTATTTCTGCACTCAGATGTACCAATCATCCAGTCGTAACTCATATGAGAGCAGATGATTGTCAGCAGCATCCGTCTTCAGTGAGGATCAGAGTGAGCTGTGCGTCTGTTGTTCTCTGTGCCAGTCACTGAAACGAGGGTGGGCTCTAAACACACCTAGATGAGAAGACAGAGAACTGCAAGGAACATGGTAGGGCTTAAACATGAACTGAAAAAAATGTTTCATGTTTTAGGGAACAGCTATTCTATTCTAGCAAATGTGTACATCTATCTGTCTAAAATTAAAAATTAAAAAAATGCTCTATTGCCAAATGGTCAAATACAAACAAACGCAAGCTCTTAAAGTGTTAATCAAAGACACAAAAAGACAGAAAATTACTCTGCTCTTGACTGAATAACTTTTGTGACTTTAATTCTAAGCATTAATCGGTATTTAATTTTTATAATTAAGACTATCCAGTGTTATTTTACATTTGATTACTTTCATTTGAGTAGTATTTCATACCTAGGACCCACCTGAAAAACTTAAAGCCATTGATTTGTCTCTTTATTTTTATTGTATTTATTTGTGCTATTGTTTGTAATTTGTTTATTTGTACTTATTTTATCACTGACCGTTTACTGGTCTTTTTTTTGTAAATCTAGTTCAACTAAAAGCCTCTCTTTCCTGTGTGAAAGGTACAACAAAATTACCCAAATTATATATAAAAAAGATGATATAATAACAAATTATCTGTATGGTGGTTTATATGGCAGTTTTGAAAAATAGTCTTGAATATCGATATTTTTCAAGGTATCGTATCAAAGTTAGACATTCCAATATTGTGACAACACTAATATAGACACACATACTGAGGGTCACTGTGGTGGACAGTGTGTGGTCTGACACAATACACACATTCACCTGTTGTCTCTGCTGGCTGTGGCACATCCACAAGTATCTCGCAGCCAGTGCTGCTGTCTTTATAATATCTTTATTTGTTCTATTTCAGTCAAGGCTATAAAGTGCTTTAATAATTTTTATAAACTTGTTAAAGTAAAGGTTTCTTATTGATATGTATTTGTGACAGTGAAGTAGGTAAGTCTTCATTTCTCCTGTCCCACAGTGAACACACACCCTTTGCTCTCTACCAGCTCTCTCTGTGCCTACTTGACTGGTTAGTAAGAAGAACCAGCTTTTTGCAGGGTTCAGGTTTTGGATTTGTAATGTTTTAAAATGTAGAGATATTTTTCCATCTTAAAAATATATCTAAATTAGGCCATATGCTCTCATTGACAAATGCGGAACAATTAGTTCATGCGTTCATGACAAGACGGCTAGATTATTGTAATGCTATTATGGGTGGCTGCCGCGCGCGCTTAATAAACAAACTAGTCTACAGCTGGTCCAAAACGCAGTAGCTTGAGTTCTTACCAGAACCAGGTATGACCAGTGGTGGAGGAAGTACTGAATCTCAGTACTTAAGTAAAAGTACAAATACCCAGATAAATATTTACTTTAGTAAAAGTAGAAGTAACACAATGACAACCATACTTAAGTAAAAAGTAAAAAGTACTTTATTTTAAATGTACTTTAAGTATTAAAAGTAAAAGTACTTGCATAACAATTTATTATCTTAATGTCTATTTTCTAATGATTAATAAAACATTTAATTCTAACACATTCAACCTAATAGCCTACTCCTATAATGATGTTCAATAATGATGGAAAAAAATGTCACCATTTCTGAAACAAGCTTGCAATTAGGCAATATCATGCTTATCCTTAGTACTATATGTTAATAACTATGTTTGGCAGTAAACGCGATTCATTTATGGTGTAATTCTGAACCTCTTGGCTTGCCATAATCCTAACCAAACCAAACATATATTACACACGGTGTGTTTCCTATGCACGTAAAAACAAATTTTCGCGTATGAGTTGCATGATAAACACACTGCGTGCGAGACGCATTTAGTGTGACCGGGTTGATATATTGTATCTATGGCAACCAAACGTCACTGGTGAGACAAACGTGCAACGAACGGACGGTCAGATTACGTTTTGGCAGGGGAAAAACTGAACAGAAAATGTAACGAAAATGTAACAGAAGCTGTAGAAATGTAGTGGAGTAGAAAGTAGAATAATTGCTGCAAAATGTAACGAAGTAAAAGTAAAAAGTATGCACTATTTATTGTACTTAAGTAAAGTAAAGATACGTGAAAAATGTACTTAAGTAAAGTAACGAAGTATTTGTACTTCGTTACATTCCACCACTGGGTATGACCATTTTAGCCTATTAAACATAGCATACATTTTAAAATATTGCTGGTTATTTACAAAGTACTAAAGGGTTCAGCGTTTCCATTTCCAGATCTGACGAAGGAAAGTATTGAAGTACCAACTAGCCTCTCCCTGGAGGATCCCTATACCACTCTACAGGTACAGCTTTGTGAAATTTCGTTTCGTGTACCTACCACGAAGTGATAAAAAAATAAAAAAATCTGTTTCAAAATTTATTGGTAAGACAAGTAGTTTGTTTAGGCATGGATTATGGAATTACAAACCTGCACACATTCAAACGCGCATGTGAACGCGTCACCATTTATCACAGGTTTGCGTTTAAAGTCTTAGCGCCCCCTAGTTTAATAACAAATGATCATTTAGATTGAAGTGAATCAATCAAAACTAACTTTAGCTGGAAAAAAACATTATTCAAGAATATATCGTTCTCTCTCTCTCTCTCTGTTTATTTATCTAACAACATGTAACAGGCTGGAGTGCACAATAAAGCACTACCACAGAACTGTCCTTTCTCTCTCGGTAGACTTGTAGTTTTCAATAGAATCGTCTGGGTTCAGGCTGCTGCGAGCAGTGCCAGCTGCCCAGTGGAAACTTTTGCTGTCAGAGTTTGCTGTCAAACATCTCATCTCAAGTACCAAAAGACAAAAGCCAGTCTTAGGTCCTGTTACTGTAATAAATGTCCTAGTGCCACCATACCATAGGAAGACATTAAGTTACTAAGCTACTGCCCCCCTGACATTTTTGCTGAAATACTTGTATGTAGTGGGTAATACATACTTTTTATTTTAATGATAGAGTTTTGTTTTATTTAGTGACTACAAATGTCAAAAATATCAAGTAGAGAGTAAAAAATGTATATTAGCGCGTTAGTACCCTGAATAAATTAGTACCCATCCCTAAATAGTTTGAAATATTTGTTTCTGTGTTTTGTGTTTGAACAGCACTCAATGCTGTTGCACTGTACAGCCACTTAGTGGTACTGCTGAGCAGGGTAACATTGAATACTCACTGTCTGCCATCTAAAATAATACTGTGTTCCTCAATTACTGTAAATTCTCTTTCTGACACACAAGGTAAATAAGCTAAATCCTAAAAAAAAATGACCATTAAGCTTGCCTTAGTCTGTATATTTTTTAAATTAATTTAAATAAAATAGTCATGAAAGCCCATAACGCACTTTGGATGTTATCACAAACACACTCTTACGCACACTTATCCCCTCAGGTCCTGTTTCAGCAGTGTCTCTATTCCAGTAGCACAGCAAGCAATCAGTCCCTAAGTCTCACTACGGTGGAGAAAGAACAATTATCCCTGTTGTCTCATCTTTATAACATAAAGACTCATATTAGATTACTGCACCCTGCCTTTTCCAGTGCAAAATATGTGCTTTGTCCCAATACACCAAGTTAATTATGCAGAGAAAGGACTAGGACTAGGATGCATGCACACATTCATGGAAAATATGTTTTGTTTGTTACTTTATTCTTTAAAAAATAATATAAATTGATTGTATTATTAATACATTCATAGACTTGGATTAATATATAAGTCATCTTGGCTGCATCATCAGTTTATACCTTCATGTTTCAGATAAATAACCCTATTTGCAAAGTGTTGTTATAGGCCTACAAAAATAATGACTTTTTCAGGAACCGTCTGACAGAATTGTCACCAAAAATAATTCAAGTTGCACAGATGAAATAAAGCTAATATATATATTCTAAAGTCCTACCAATGAATGACACTCTAAATCAGAGTATTGAATATTCAGTCTCCTTGATGATTACTCTCATTTTAAATGGTTTGAGTGTGCCTTTTCGTCCATTGTGGTTCTTTAGGAAAATGCACTAGTCACGGATATGGGGTGGAAGTTGCTATATGGTTTGCATACTCATGACTTTTTAAATTTAAATAGTATGTAAAATAATAAGGCTAGATATGGTAATATTTCAAAAGCTTATGTATGAGCTCATCTTTTGATTTTCTGTATGGTTTTATGCCACCTGTAAGAAAATCTCCTAAATCTGAATATATTTGAATATGGTTAGACCCGTGAGCTGACCAACCAGATGTGGCCTCATTCATCTCACCAAATGGAGCCATTTCCTCCATAAATTATTCATATTCACCAACCTATGCTCTATGCAGACTAATGTAAAAAATGACACACTTTATGTCCTGAAAAATATTCTACAATACACAATAATACACATTTGACACACTATTGTGAGGATAAAGGGATATTTTATTGTTAAATCCCACATTTGTTTGTCATCAGTGGAGTACTAGCATTTAATAGCATTAGTAATTATGATGTTGGCTGTAATTCAGTTGAAACAGTTTTTTGGCATGTCAGAACTAAACAATAGGCTAGGCGTAGAAATGGAACATTATTGTCTTCATTCAGGCCGTTTCAAAATATACACGAAAACAAATTACGGCGGAATTTATCGCACGACCTAATCATATCTGTCATATTCAGAGCCATGGCTCTGGTCATATCCAATCAAAATCGATCATATCCAATCATAGCGCGATGGAGGCTGGATGGATGGAGGCGTTTCCTCCTCTCACGTGACTTCCCCCCATTTAATAAACCTCAAAGAAATTTAATTAACATATAAATAATAACATATAATCATGTAAATAAAAATGACAAATAAACACAACATATCATGATTGAGTCTTTATAAAGAATATTAGGCTTTTCAGAAAATGTGTTAAATAATAGGCTATTATCATCATTAATATATAAATACTGTTAAAACATTTTTCAATTATATATAAATAAAATAAAATATTA